CTGGCTTTTGCATTGGGTTTGAAAAATGAAGTCCAACAGCCTCTGTGCACAAAGACCCATATGGGTGAATGGGGAAGGTTAGGGCCAGCAACCCTTGGGGGTTTGGGTTAACATTGACAAAAACTAGTGATACTGAACTAAATTTTAGAGTATTTAATAACTGTTTTTGCAAATGTTGCACAGCAGGAGCAATGAACTTACTCTGGACTCTTTCTGGTATCAATTCCTTTGACGGCAACGATGCCTTCAACAGCATCCTTGATGTTTATGTTGTCTTCTTCGACAACTCTCCTTAAAGCTCCACATTTGGAGTTCCTCAATGAGCTCTCTGTCACACAAAACAATGACGGAAAACAATTTATTTCAACGGGCCTAAACACACAAGATTCCTAAATCCCTTTTTTTGGGGGGGGAGACTGTTTTCAAGGACTACCTGCTTGTCAACACTCACCCACTCTTCTGGTTCTCCTACTGTCCAATTGATCTCTGGAACAAAGTCGTTGCAGCTCATGACTGCCTGTCAATACGCGGATCATCCACTTGAACATGCGGTGGTACAGCCACGCAAAGTAGGCATAAAACCAGCCAAAAATCATCTCAAAGTATCGCTGACCAAACTCTCCAGAAACCACAATTTTTCACTCCTTCAAGTCAAGACAAAGAAACACAGAACAATATGAAACAGGTGAATATTCTGCCACAAAGTGGTCTTGCATTTTCTCCTTTTTGAGCACATTCAAGAGTCAATACCATACAATATCACATTCCCTGTGCCCCATTGAGTGACCGCGTGACATACTTGTATTAATGTTTAAGCGTGGGGTAGTCATAACCAACACTCCTTGTTGGGCTCCTTTTTTCCCCTTCAAAATAGTCACAATAATATCATTTGTCCTAAACTGAATCATTTAATCTGAGAGTATTTCATTTTCTTTTTCTGATTTGCAGCTCTGTTTTTCATTTTTTAATGTAAATAAAATCTGAAATTGCAATAGGTCTGAACCCCATCTCATTAAAGTAATGACATCAATGTAAGCGAGGTACCAGACTAAGTAAGATTTTTAACAACCAAAAATGTCCAAAGCTCACATAACACTGCATATGTTCAGTGCCGTGCCAGTCACGCCAGTGAAACACATGTAGCAAAACCAATCGAGTTCACATCACAGTCTGATTATAAACACCTTCCTTTTCATTTTTCAAAATTACCGAAATGACAAGCTGCCTATTTTCATACCTCTGGTACAGAACTGTGGGGCTCCTCTCACAGAGGCAGATCAATGAATCCCATAGACTTCACACTCGACAGCAGTCAAGGGGTAGGCTAGACCTACTGGGAAAGAGTTCCACATGTAATAACAACACTGTCACTAGCCAGTAGCCGTCAGGCCATAGAGCTTGGAACACAGCTCTATAATCAGACTTGTCAGACATAGGTGACGATAACATGTCCTAAAAAAGTGAAATTTACCTAACAAGCCTAGGAAAATTCTGAAGCGTTTACTTAGAAAATATTTGGGTTGTCTTTAGACAAGTCTCATTACTAGTACTAGGTTTGTGCACAGGGGCATCAAGTGTTGTCCACATATACCCCAAGAACTGTGGGGTCCGACGTCCTCCCTGCTCCACAGAGTGGGGCGGATGTCGCACCCCTTAGTTCTGGGGGTAGGCCTAGTCCGCATATTGAACTCTTTCTGGGTACTTCTTGCAGTATAGACCCTACCCCTAGAATTAAGGCCTTGTCATCTGGTCATGGTGCAGAATGACAAGCTGACTGCCATGGGCAGCCTGAGCTCCACACTTGGCAACCTGTCATCAATCATCACTAGGTCAACATGAGATTTTCTTTCTGCTCATTATAAATTTTCATAGCACCACTCCACCTCAAAAGGCTCAAGTCGCCCTGGCCTTCCTCCTTAGCTCCGCCCCGTTTATATTCCGTACATCATGCATGTCCGGCATAAGGCAATAGTGCCAGTGATTTAACCATCACATTAATTCTCAACGCATATTCGGCATTATTTTGACACTGGCCTGCCCCCACCATTCCTGAACAAATATGAGTAAGTTCATCAGATCAGGCTGTACAATCATGGAGAAATTCTCCATGGTACAATACATCAACCATGTCAACAAGATCGAAGTAGGCCTACAGGGAGAATTAAAAAACCATAATAAATCAGAGAGAGTGATACGCAGATTTTCAAGAATATCCATGGTGATTCATTAAAAAAATAACAACTTAGCGGCTATTCCTTGCTCTATGGTTACCGTGAAAGCGAAACCCCAAAGGGCTAAAGCCGCTCCGCTGGCGCGCTGGTGGTGGTATGAGCGGAATGATGGAGATATCCACGTCGCGCTGCACTAGCACTGCATGCTATACGGTATCGCTGGTAGTCCGGTTGCATATGGTTGCACAAACACTACTCTACGAAAGCCCACTAGTGCCATGTAGTGTACATGTTTTCAAATTTGTTTTACGAGATATTTTTTTTTGCCAATTTGTTTTTGCGAGATATATTTTTTCCAGTTTGTTTTTTTTGAGATATATTTTCCGAAGCTCGTTTTTACGAGATTTTTTTTGGGAAGTTTGCTTTCTCGAATCTATTTTTAGAAACATCTTTACTATTTTGGAAACATTCGTTTTTACGAGATATATTTTCCCGGTTTGTTTTTTGCGAGATTTATTTTCCTTTTTTCGAGGTATATATTTTCCAGTGTTTTTTTCAATTTTGTAAATTTCTTTTTCCATTTTTGTTTTAACTCTCGAAAACAACGTGAGACATTTTACCATGCAGTGCGATTGCCGGATGAGATAGGTCTTGTTATTTATTTATTCATTTATTTTTGTTCCTCTACCCTTTTCCAAAATCCATCCGGGATAATTTGTGGTCTTTTTCACTCGCACGTGGCTCGGTTGCGTACACTGCCACTTTCACGGGATGCACGCCTTTGAAGGGTTTACAAGCAGAAACATACTCGGGTTGTGAGTCAATTTGTAACCAGAATCAGACCTTCATAATTCCCAAAGTCTGTCAAGGCTGGTACTTTGATGCAAAGTAGTTGCAAAAAAAATTTGAAAAATATATCTCAAAAAACAAAAATGTGAAAATATCTCGTAAAAACGAAGTTGAAAAAATGTACACTACGTGGCACTAGTGGGCTTTCGTACTACCCGGGGAAAAAACATAGAAACCGGTTTTCGTTCTTCTACGGAGGCCAGTGCAAGACCAATCCAAAAGTCAGAATTCGGGGCGAGTTTTCTACTTTATTACTAAGATCTATGTTGTTTGAGGACTCTATCTTCCCCCTGATTAATTTTAGTGACAATCTTGAACATTACAACATTACAGCAATGATTTGTATTATGTCTCAAAAGTCAAAGTGTTCATCAATCTCAACTATCCGTCTCCACTGTGACGGGCGATGTGCTGGATTGTCACTACGTACAACATTAACATGTATTTACACTGTACAATTTACCTCGTACACTTTCTTTTTTTTAAACATGTACATGTAATTCTGCTTATTCTGGCGATATTCCAAAGACCCTTAAATTTTAGAAGGGTTATGAAATCACTGAAATCGGCAGTGGCGGGATTTGTTTCTAAAAACGACTTCCCATTTTCACCAACCTCTCCGTTTCTCTTTGTCAGAAGGGGTAAGAAGTCTTTTTATTCCACGAATTTGTCAAAAGCGGGGGTGGGGAGTTGGGGATTGGGGGTGCTTGTGTTTTCAATTCATTTAAAAAGGCGTAAAATATCAAATGTCGCCATTGGTGGGGGCGGCCGCGAATTCCTCGTTTTGTTCCCTAGAAATGAATTATAATACCGACAGACCAAACTCATAACCCCGAGCATTTTTAATTATAAATATAGACAGTGGATGTTGCTACACGGTGTGTCCATGCAGCTTTCCCTAGTAATATCATAAAGGAAACAGATAACTCCATAGCCACTTGGCAAACGCTTGTTTCGATGACACGAACTTGGAACGTCCTATTTCTGCCCCGGATCACAGCAATATACTGCACCCGGCCATTAAGCAATCGGGGAAAAGATATATTTTGTCAGGTCACTGTAAAAACGACCTTCCACACATGGCACAATCACTTAATGGCAAATAAAAATGTAGGTCCATTTGCAAAGGAGATAATTTAATCGGTTTATCAAATTGAATTCGCAGACACTAGTGCTGATTTAGATACACTGCGGTTTAGATCTTTGTCATGTAAATTACCAAAAGTAAACAGAATTTTGGTTGTGAAGTGACTGGACTATTGCATGGCGCGCGAAAGAGGGCTCCCTCACGTATACACAGAAGTAATTTACTACACACACAAAGCACATGTGTATCTTGGCTACGGCTGGGAGTAACACACAAGCCTATGGCGAATGACTGAATGACTTCAGCCGTTAGCTAGCGGCTTGCCAAGTTGTACGCGTTAGTTTGCAGCCGCAGCCGAGTAATGGGTACAAAAAGAGAAGAAAGTGCGCTAGGCATATAGGTCGATAGCAATCCCTCATGACATGATGAGTGCAGTTATTACAAACATGGCGGTTTTCGGGAGAACAGAGTTACACAGTAACGGGATGGCACACATGTGGCTTACCCTCGCCCTGAGCATTCTACAACTACTTCCCACTCACCTCGACACAGTTAAAGCACATGGGCAAGGTGAGGACTGTTTTTGATCCTGTCTTTGTGGTAAAAGGGGGCGAAAATTTGGAGCGAAAATTGTAGTATTTTGTGCCCCATCTCGTGGAACTCAGATAGGCCTACATGACAGACTGCAGGTAAAATCTTCCGTGCACATATTATGAACGGTTTCGGGTCGATTAACGTGCACGCGATCGATACACTGTTGCCAACCATCGAGTTTGCCTTTTGCTTAAGAAACTTTATATTTTTCAACTTACCGTCAGAAGATAATTTTCAGTTTAAGCATAAAGTTCTTTGTTAAAAATGGCCAAAATATAATCTTAGGTTGTTTATGAATATCAGGATTTTGTGTTTGTTTACATTTTGTCAATGATGAGATGGACATTGTATTAGTTGTCACTCTACTGACATGATAACAGAGAGACTTTTTTGCCTTGTGGTTGGCCTGGTCTGGATGACTTGCATCAAGCATTTAAAATTTGGGGTTAGATATTTGATAAATAAGATTTTCAATCAAATGTTTCTTTACCATTTAATTTTTAACAGCATTTGTGCAGACAGACTTCAGCGAACTACCCCATTTTGTCGAGGAAGTTACTCTAAACAAGGTACATTTTTGCTGTCATACAAACACCAAGATATCCTTATAGTTAGGACACCATTATGTTGTTGAAAATTAGACTCGTATTTTTTCAGTTGCTTACAAAGTGTGCAAACTGTATGAGGCCAAAATTACCTTAAGCTTAACCATTTCAGGAAGTCTTTTGCACAGCTTGGGGAAGGAGAAATTGTTACCAAGTGTGACAGTTGAAGCTATTCATATGTTAATATAAACATGTACATGTATGTGTATTATTTCCACAGCATAGTCTTTGTCACTTGAAAAACTGCTTTTCTCAAGGGCCTCAATTAGACTTTAATACAAAAGAAGATTAATCAAATTAAAAGCTGATAATTAGACCGATACTGATATTTAGAACTAGTTACTGGTAAATAAGCAGTTGCAATTCTTCAACTGATAAATATTATTTTATTATTTATCATTTCTCTTGGAATCAGTTTACAAATTTCGCTATGTTTTTGATATAGTTGTGTACAAAAGTCATTAAATCGAGTACTTTTGAAATTTGCTATTTTAATAATACTTTACGAAACTAAATGGACCAAATTACAGATAATTCAAAATAGCATATCTTCGTGTTATTACTAAATGTCAAGCCTTGTATTTTTTAAAAAGTACAAATTTTGTTATTGTTATTAAATGGGAAAGGCTTCACTGTGTTATATTTGTGTTCTTTTCTCTGTTCAGGGTGATCTTACAAACCAGGGTCTAAACACACATGATAAAAAGTAAGTACAGATTTTGTTACTGTTATTTTGAAAGTGGCTTCACAGAAGAAAAAAAGTTGTTTAAGGTTTTTGCCTTTGGCTGGCTGTTTTTTGAACATCCATAAGTGAGTGTGAATTTATGAGAAATAAAAACTTTCAAGAAACATGGTTTGGCCAAAAAGTATACTTCCTGTGGAATCATGTTGAGAAGAAACTTTTAAAATTGTTAATGACCGTTTTATGTTATTAACTGTGAATCTACATGTACACATTCATCTCTCAAGTAGGAGTTGTCATGATGACTTTAGTATTAAACAGTTAAGGTGACTGAGTCGTTGTTGCGCTTGGCTCCTATCAAACTTTTTGCCAAGCATTTACACTGTTATTGTTGAGAAGCTGTGACTCCAGGATGTAAATTTTTCTCACCATGATATTTTGCGGCGATTTGCGTTCAAAGGTTGCTCTTTTGTCAATGACTTGCGGGAGCCAAAAACACTAGAACTGAGTAGATACGTTTATGAGGATTTGATGTTTGTCTCAGCTGCTAGGTGCTAATAAAGGGCAAAGTGCAGGTTTTTTATCATGTGAAGTAATTAATTAATGAAGACACTACGGCACACAAATACAAGTACATGTAATTTTAACCATGTATGATACATGTATGAAGGGAGTTACGTGACTGGTTAGGAAATTTGAAGTGCTTACACTAATATCGGTTGCTTTAATATCCTTTCTTAGTTTAGGGGGGGCAAACAATATTTCATGCCCATTGTTCACCGTAGCTTCTAATCCAGCACAGTAAAATCAGCAATTAGACAAGTTCAGAAGTATTTGTAAATGAAAACATTGTTTTAGTAGAAATTTGATATATTCTTTGAGTTTCATATTGAAAGCGAGTAGATGACAGCATCAGTGTTATCACAAACTGTTAAGTGCTGTTATGTTTCTGGCATGTTTAGCCAGTGTGAACAATCATGTTTCCTTTTGAAATGAAGTGGACAGGATAAAATATGTAACATGATCCACACTCGACGTGCACATTTGTGTATTTTGTCTCATGTGGGTGCGCACAGACTTTGTAGACTCAAAGTACCTGGCAGGGTATGAACATGAAGTTTAAAATACAAACAAGGTATGGCCGACTGCCTATTCTTACAAACACTTGACAGCAGCTAGTTACAAATAGTGGTGAACTGTGGATGTGCCTTTTTTTTGCGCATGGGAACTTTAGCCCTCATTGTTGGCTAGCCTTGGCCCTGCCTTTTGATATTTTCATGCAAATACTTTTCTGTGGGTATGAGCCAAAGAGACCGCCCTCTGAATTTGCCAAGGATTTGCTGCTGGGGCTGAACATTGTGGGGGCTATGCTTCAGTACACAGGAGTGAACCTGCCGTTGAAATATTGTTGGCGATACTGATTTTTTCGTAGTCAATTTTTTTTTACCTAGAAATATCACCGATTCAACCATAAACATCCACAAATTGTGCCAGATTAAAACTCCAAGGTACTGTAAATATAAACGCGTAAACAATATGGCTTGGAAAAATGGCGTAACCTGATAAAAATGTCTGCAAATAATTCTAATTTCCTGGAAAAATCAAGCACCATTTCTTTCCCATGGCATTGGCACCAGGAACCCCATGGAAACTGTCCGTTAACATGACATCCCATGGAAATGTGGGAATTTACCACCTTAAAGTGGTCTAACGAGGTAATCCAGATTACATACACGTATTGCACCTGGATTGTTCAACATCCATTCAGAAGGATTTTGCCGAAGACTGGAGGATTAATTAGCTACTGCAGCATGTACATTATGTGTAAATTACAGGTCTTAGATGGTCCAAGAGTGAACCAATCACAGGTTATCTTTTACTGCATAGTTTTTAAATTTTGATAACCTTTAGGTTAAATCAATAACCCATGAGCAGATCAACGAGACAAGCTTCAGCTTACTCAGAATTGCAAAAATGAAAGAAACGGTGATCGGTTTTTCTGCATAACAAAATGTGTTTGTACATAGAAGCATTTCTTTGTCAAATTAGCAATTTGTGCTAAGGAAGAATTTATGTACATGTAGCATGAAACTTCAACAAAGTGATTGGCTACCCCACAACATAATTCACCTCTGCTCTCTCTTCACTCAAGTCCTCGTCAGTTTTGCACGTTGGACAAGGCATCTCCACATTCAGGCCTGACAAAAAGAGGAATTAAAGAGAAACCAAAACTTTCTGCAAAACACAACTTGTTATTGCATATCTTGCAGGAATGTTTTCATACATATTTGGATTTATGAGGAGAACAGTTTCCTCCACTGCAATTTGACAAGGTATTACAGTCAGCACTAGTCAAGTCTTCACAAAGAACAGGTTTGGAGTATAAAAACCCCAAACTGCCCTACTCTAAACTACATGTATGGTACTCCATCCTCAGCTTCTGGCTTGTAATGTATTTCACTTTACTTCACATGCATGTACTAGTACATATGTACAGTGTACATGTACAGTACTTGCTATTATTCATTTGTGCCCAATTGGTCAGTATCCATTTCGATGAGTCATTATTAATTATTATGATGTTTAGGCCTGTTATCCGGTATATGTAACTGTGCCCTTGGAATGAAAACAAAATTTAAAGCAGATGTTTGTGATGCTGTTATAATTTATTCAGATGTGTAATTAATCTTGATGATAGCAAAAACCACAACTTCAGAGTACAGGTACATGTACATGTACTGATACTGATGCAATACTTTGCATTTAACTGTGTTTGTTTACTGAGCATTTCCCTGACAGTGAGCAAGTGAACTCTGAACTATCCTTAAAGGGAGTATAGTGGGTGTGTTGAGGGTAGGCACCAGATTGGTCAGTTGGTGTGACAGTTCAGGGATCAGCTACAAATTCATAGCATTTTCATTTGAACAGGTCATTGAACATGTACATGTATGCAACACATGTATTGAAGTACCGGTACCTAGAGTATGAATGTGTACTGTTTACCGCTCTTGTTAAGACTACATGTCACAGTCATAGTTAATAAGTGCCTTTTCCTCTGTGCACAAATTTGCAGAATGTGAAGCCAAATAAAAATCAATTTTTGTTCGCCAGGTTACTTGTCGTTTTGAATGCATGGCTTAATTCAGCTTTTGTGCATTAAGGCTCTTATGTAATAGCCTTTATTAATCAGGCATTGAGGTTTATCAACTCTGTACTGTAGTTATGCTGTACCCATAGATTTGTAACTTGGGCTGTTGGAAACATGTCGTGGCTGTAGATCCTATGCTTTTGTTGGTGCTATTTCTTACACTTTGGAAATAAAAATATAATGTTTGTACGTTTTCCTCCCTGTCAAAGCCCATAAGGAGAGAGAAATTTAGGATTTAAAGTGACCTCTGTCTTGCAGAAGTGTAACAGATTATAGAGCACATGTGCAGTATTGCGAATGAAAGTTAAAATGAATTTGGATGGGAAATGAACGAAAATGAATTCCCTGGGTAGAGCAACGGTATGTGTTAAATTCAGATTGCAATATACAATGTATATGTACTGTGTAGGTTTGCAGCAATGCCTGATTGCCAACACTTGTAAGTAGGCTAATATTTAATGCCCAGCATACTGTAGCTCTGCACATGTACATGTATACATGTGCCAGTAGTCAGTACATTTTGTGCATGAGGGATATGAAGGTTTGAAAACCCCTTTTTTTGCTCCTTACACAGGAGCACTGCAACACCTGGCCATCAGGGTTGTGACCTGGTTAACACAATAAGTTTGGCAGTTTCAAGTATTCAATCCATTATGTTTCCCCCCAGCTTCCAAACAAGGAACAAAGAGGGGGAGGTGGGGGTGAAGAGTGGAAAACCACAGGGTATTCGTTGTGCCAAAATCCAGGGGCCCTTTCTTGTTGAATAGGGGGACGCAGTTGCCATATTAGGGATGTTTACCTACAAAGTCCATTGTCTTGCTTTGTGCATGCTACTACTAGATTTTAAGGATTTGGGCCACTGCAGATATTCGGGGATACTGGCCAATAAGTACTCATTGTGCATAAATGACAATCTGCAACCAGCTTGTTTATAAAAACAAAAAAAAAATAATGGTGTTTATACTCATTCAATCCAAACATTCATTTATACAAAAACAACCAGGCTATGTGTTTGTTAATCGTTTATCATATATTGATTTCCGAATGACAGTTTGTTGATATCAGAACGGGCATCATTGAGCCCATTTTTAGGCATTGAGTAGTTAAATTAAAAATAATTCATTACATTATACAAATGTCTGTAGTGATACAGTGCTTACAGGAGTGTGCATGTACATGTACTGTACATTTACTGCAGGCGTGTAATATACATCTATATGGATAAACATCTAGAAATAATAATGTGCCATTGGTTTTCCGCACAGTGATGTATATCACAGAATTGAGCAAGGTTTCTTCCAAAAAATTCAAGGGAGTGTACATGTAAGTTGTAGAGCTGTAGGGCTCTATGATGGTATAGTACAGTACTGTACTGTACCTTTGCAGACTTCCAGACTTAAATTCTCTTTACTGCTCATTGAGAAATTGCCAAACAATCTCGTAGGGTCTGTATCTGAAGTTGTAAGGTTGGATACTTCATGCTGTTCTGTACTCTAGAATTTGTTCATTTATGTCTTCAAGAAGTACTTTTCAGTGTGACCCAGTTCTGCTACCGGTAATTGATCTTGAAAAGGGAACTAAATATCATCAAACTACAATTATTTGAACTACAAAGAAAGGATGCTACCAGTAGGTAGCAGGACCCTGTGCTATGAAAGGAAAAGTGTTTTGGTTTTTAGTTGCTTTAGAAAGAGAAAACAGAACATCTTATTTTGATGTACCGTACATGTGTACGGTACTGCTGTCACCTAGTTTGCTATCTCGAAAAAAATGGAGATAGCCACTACATGAATTTTGATGGAAAATATCAAGGGTGCTGAATCATTTGCATCGTGCAAGAATCCTCTATTCAACCACTTGAGAGGGAAATAAAGGA